GTTTAAGACTTTAAACATTCGAACATTTTGAGTTGTTTTGCACTTGGAACAAAGTTTGCAAATTGTACTGCACAAAATGCACCTGAGGAATGTGGTCCGGGCAACTAAATGATAAGCACACTCACCTTAAGTTGTTTTAAATCCTGATGTTCGAGGCTAGGGTTTGGGGGGTTTTCTCTTTTCTCCAGTGGCTTAGTTGACGTGCATTTACCTGCAAGGCTCACATTTACTCTGAGAAAATAATTTGATTGCTGTATGTACATTAATCTACTATGCATCATAAGAAGCCTTTTGTTTTGGTCACAGTACTAGAGTGATCTTACTTGGCCCAGTGAAATAGAAAGTTGACTAGTTACAAATTCATCAGAAAATAAATAATTTAAAGTGGAGTTTTGGGTGATGTAGGTTCTTCCGATATGCGTCTCTTGTTTATTACAAGAGACATACACCTTTGACAAGCCACAGATCAGGAGCTGCATTATTTAGCAGATACTTGTATTGTTCTTAAGATGATCTATGAGATTCGCACAAAGCAGCTGTTCTGTGGAAATTTCATTTTCTTCCACCTACCTTACCACTGTTAACAAGTGTCAGATACTGAAAATGAGGTAATAAATTCCACTCAAAGTTTTACATTAACATTGTGTTGGTTTATCTTTGGGGGTCCATAAAATCTTTCCCCGTTTGAAATCATGGCTGAGAAACTATAATGTTGGCGGTCAGCGTTGGACAAGTTTTATGCACGTAAAAAACCCGCATAGATCAAAGTTTTAGTTTCAGGTCATAGTCAGGGTTATTTCTGGGTGGTATTCACCCCTTCCAGACTGAATACCGCTTGAAAATCATTCCGAAAGGATTAATTTACGGGCGTCAATTTCATTACCTGGTCCCTACGAACAAAATACCGGTTTCAAAATGGTTGCACATGTTCCTGTATAATATTAATTCGACAGTGTAAAAGTTAGCAATGATTGTAAAGGTAGTTAGATCTCTACCTGCCAATAACCGTCTTATTAAAGTGATACAATGTAGTGTCATTTGTTAACGCTCCGTGAAGCGGAAATTTACAGCTCTTACCATTGGGAATTGCATCAATTCCGGTTCCGATTCCATTCATTCAGTTCAAAAACTTCCTCGCACAAAAGAAGGCTTGATTCAAATCTGTGAATGAGTCTACATTTCGTTCCAGGAGCATGATTTCAATAATTGAAAGAGTAGAAATTACCAGGAAGCTAGCAGCCATATTGTAGTGACAGCGATATTTGGTCCGCGGTACATGTCGCAGAAAGTGCTCTTTGATTGGCTCAAGAGGGGGGTGTGACGGGGGTGGGGAACCCGCAGAATGTAAACATCGCGGAAAATACCCTTTTTAAATTTTTCAAGCAATGAAGACATTCTTGGTAGTCTCAACACTTCTAGACTGCTTTTACATCGAGTTACACGAGGGGCACCCAACGACAATTTTCGGAAAAATATCTGTTCGGAAGACGATTTGAGGTCTAGAATTTTCGGAACATTTGTTGTAAAATTTCTTGCTTGCCTGCCTCTTAGGATTTTCGAACATCTAAAAAATGGTAAAATTGCCCATTTTCAACGGATTTTTACCCTAAAACGGTCACCTAGAATTTTCGGGAGGCTTTTTTCTGGCTGAAATTTTTAAACAGGTAAGTTTTGATCCCTAAAATTTTCGGATCACTAGACTTTCAGCTAGGAAATCCGAACAGATGAAAAATTTATAGGGGATAAATATATGCCCATATCCACCGTTTAAATACTAAAACACGTTTAACAATGCTATGTTTAAGTGGTTTTGAACTATATTCTCGTTGGGTGCCCCTGTTACACAGAAATTTTTCACTTTCTACGAGTTTACCGTTACAATAAACGGTACCTTTTTCATGATCACCAACAACAATGTATTTTATTTAAGATCCATAAGCTTACAATATTTTATGCCCTGCAAGTAGCCATAGTGCTAATCTAGGCAGAACAAACATTATAAATAAAGGCGTTATTAAATTACATATTAAGAAAAAAGGAAAAGCAAAAAAGAAAAACCCCTCACACAAACTCAAGCATAGGGGTTTTGTTATTAGAAAAAATAGACTAAAATTACAATGGTTCATTTTCTAGGTTGTAGAGAAATAGAGAAACACTCCTTGGCAGATAATCGCGTTTTATAGTGATGTTTTGTGCTGAGTTTCACAAACTTATTGAGGGGACTTTTGGAGCTGTCTTAGCGTGGACGTCATACAAGAAATAGCTTGGTTGTTGAAAGAAAAAAGACTGTAAAGGAAGACTGTGAGGAATTTTCCGATTTCCCTTTGTAACTCATTTTATGTCAGTTTCTTTGCGTAAATCACGCTCGAGATTCGACTTTTTAGTTTGAAATGCAATAATTCCGCTAATACGAGACATATGCAAATTTCCTCACACCCTTTTTTAGGTCTTTTATCTGTCAATCAGATACAATAAAAAGGAAGTGAATATTTAACAACGCGAAAGGGCTGGAGCTTCAGCAGTAAACTCGATACCTCTGAGTTCGAGAGCAAAAAACTTAAGCGCCTTTTGAAATTGGATGAAATAAAATCTTTTCATAAGGTAATTTAGTATTTTAGCTTTAATTTGATATATAACTTGCCTTTGTAGCCTTTGGCACCTCGTTTTCCTTTACCGAGACCTTAAATAAGGACTAACAAGTGCATGATATAAATTCAGAAGAAGCCGTGGAATGCCTTCAAACCATGGTAATAATTAAATTTTTCAACTGTCCAAAACAAATTCCACGCAACCTTATTCCAATGATTCTACAAACAAAAGTTTCCGTAGCAGACATAACTGAAAAATGTCGCAGACATTACATTTTGGGAAACACATTTGTTATCATTCACTTTTCTTATCAGTGTTGCTGACTGTGGCTATGTCAATTTTTCCTGTAGTTACTTGTCTAAACATGAAGCTGTGAAATGATCATTTACTTTATTTATGTTCTATTAGAATATTATATAATCTCCTGCTGACCTAGTGTGAAGCAATACCAGTCAGATTTTTTTTCTGCTATAATGAATCCTTAAAATAATTTCCAAATTAATTTCGTCACATCTCAAGTAAATGTTGTGAGGAAAAAAACCCTTTCAGTAGTGAGGAGATTATATTTTTTTCCCAAAACTGATTTAGCTACTAAAATTATCATTTTTTGTCATTCAGTCTGACTTAAAGACAGATAAAATGTAAATTTGCACTAAAATTTCACATAGTTCACGACATATTACATCACAAATTGTACTTAAAAAATAATACTCATTGTTGTTTTGGTGGTTGTCAAATTCGCCCTTTATCCCTGATCCATCCTTGATCGATGCACTTGACAGCTAGAGCACAACTCACAACAACAGCAGCGGCAGTCGCATCTAACCCTGTGGCAACTGAAGAAAAGAGAGAATTTTGCTTATTTGTTGACACAGATTTAAACTATGAAAGTTGCTAAGACCTGAATCTGAAGCTACACACTGAATTCCTACACTTTTCGAGCATATAACAACTAATCCAATTGATTATAAATTTCCTGAAATGTTGCGTACACACGGCTCCAAATGACCAATTAATGTCAAGGGTTGATTTGATAATTATTCACGGAGTTAAAATTTTCTAATGGCCGTCATTTCTTTACCGCAGGTCAAGAGCGAACGGCGGACTGTTGTGTTGGTAGCCCCATGAACCTAGGACCCCTGCGCGCGTAATGTACTGTCATGAACATGGTTGTATACTCACTCACCTATGTAACTTCCAACATCAAGAACAGCAATGACTATAGCAATCTGATCAACTTCATTTGAACCAGGCTAAAGTGGATGTGAGCTGTGAGAGGATCAACAAAAGTAATTATTAAGTTAACATAAGGTAACTTGACCACAAAGTCACCCTCTTGAGCGTGATACCTTACAAAGATCCTCACAAGATATTCTACGTTGTCAAGGAAAAACACATTCATGAAGGAAATGCCTAGTTCTAAGACTAACACAAATTGTGGTCAATAAATTGCTACAGAATTAGAGAGGTCCTAACATTTCTTGAGAGCACCAGCCCAAATCCTCATGTGGCTGTGACTGGTTCAATTTTGTCCTTGGTATAAATTTAATTTTCCTTTGTTCTAAGCTCATTATCAGAGATGTACCCAAATACCACCAAAACAACAACAATTTCTTACGTTGAGCCTACTGATATGAAAACAATGTTTATTTAAGGGTCAACTTCCTATATTTCTTCTTGCAAATCATAATTTTAGTCTTCTTTGGATTCAGCGATGAAAGCCAATGTGCACAATACTCTGAAAGGATGGAGAGAGCATTTTCTAGTCCTTGATCTGACTGGGACATCAAAACTAAATCATCTGCATATAGTAGACAGCTTAGATGGGATCTATTATTTGGTAGAACTATGTGATCTGTGTCCCCTTGGTCAAGTAGAAAGGAAAATACAAAGGAGTACCAAAATAAAAACCAAGGATAAAATGGAACCACAACAGCAGATAAGCATGCGATCCACTGCAGTAAGTTAAGGCTGGTGCTCCAAAAGGTGATGGAGGCTCAATTTCACATGATATACAAGAAATGTGAAAGAAGGAAATAAGATAGTACAGCAATAATTAAATCAATGCACCCTCTCATACGTACCATGGTGAAGAAAACTGTACAGCTCTGTGTACGGTTGCTTTGAGCAAACACCTCGACACAAGTCAGATTAGTTGACAGCACCCTTAAATGAAATGGCAACGCGATATATTTACTTTTTTGCCGCATGAAACACTTTAGTCGTAAAGGATATACAGGTGAAATTTGGTTTTAAGCCCTATGATTTCAAATCTCATGGATAACAATTTTTTGGGTTGCGTGAAAATTCATGGGAAACCACTTTTATTTCTTTTAATGAACAGAAGGGCAATTCCATGCAAGACAATGACATTTTGAATTTTTTCAAATACAATTTTGCACAATGAAACT